CCTCCCAGCGAGTGGGTCAGCTGGAAGCCCTGGAGACAGTCACAGCTTTCTGACTCCTTCCTCACCACGTCCAGGACCGAGTCGACCAGCTCGGCCCCCTCTGTGTAGTGGCCCTTGGCCCAGTTGTTCCCAGCACCACTCTGGCCTGCCAAGGGAAGACCGTATTAGACACTAAAACACAAGGAAATCTAAATTCTATCACTTTGTAGTAGGAGAAGGTAGGGCCAATCTCAAGAGGGGCAGATTCTTTTCTCATAAATATCAATATTTTTACCTAAAAAATAAGTTGTCTATGTATCAGTGACCATCACAAACAGGGGACCCAGCCATAGTGGTGCAGTGGTAGCAGAACACTTCAATGGTGGAAGCCACGTGGAAGACCAAGTTCAGTTTCCCGGGCCACCTATATGCCCCAGGCACACATGTGCACCTGCGTTCCTGGCAGGACAAGGGGGGTGGGGCTGAGGGAAGCATAGCTTGGAATTCTTTAAGGTGCTGTGTGTCTCTATGTTATCTGTCTCTGTCTCTGTGTCAATAAATAGACTTTAGAGAAAAAAAAAAATTCAAGTTTATAAAGCCCTGGGGTTGAGGGGCAGCAGAAGGCCTAGTGGTTAAGGGGCTGAACTCCCATATGGTCGACCGTGGTTCAAGTCCCAGACCCGGTGGCTTGAAACTCACAACGGGCATGTGTGTGTATGTGTGCCCAAAATCCCAAGAAGAAAATGGGTTACAAGAGATTGCAGCGTGGCCATCACCCCTAGGGGGTGATTTCTCACTGTTAAATCTCTCTCTGTCTCTGTCTCTCCAGTGAGTGCACACACCCTATAGCAAAGGGTCTTAAAAAAATTACAAAAACCTTGGAGAATCATGATAAAGGAAAAAAGCAAGTTCAGTTCATCTAAACTTATTGAGAAAAATAGGGTTAACCCAACTGCTTTTAAAATTAGGACTAGAACATTTTGTAAATACTTCAGTTCGGTGCAATTAAACCAATTAAACAGGCAAGGGGGAAAGGAGACGGGCTCTAAGTAGTCGAAACCTCTGGCCATTGGCCATCACCTAGGCTTTTGGACTTTGGTTTTTGAAGTAGTGACCTTTGAAACTACCTGTAGCCTATGAAGCCTTCTTTTCTTTTAGGTGTTTGCCACGTGCCAGAGAGACATGCCTGATGTGATTTTTCAAGCCGCCAGGTGCGGGACTCAAACCTCAGTTGGCCACGTGAGAATTCAGCGCCTTAATCACCATGCTTGCTATGCACATGAAGCCCTCTTTGAGGCTTGCTTTTGCTCTTCGCTTTGCCTGCAGGGGCTGGACTTAGTAGGAGGGCTACGGCCACCCCCTGCAGGCTGGCACAATCGCGGAGCTGTCCAGAGAGTGGCCAGAGACAGGAGTGCCAGGAAGTGGGTGGAGTCGGGCCAGCACTCAGGGCTGTCTGGGGACAGTCTCACTTCGGCACGAAACACTAAGCTCGGAGACTTGCACAGTTGAAAGGAAGAAGGTGAGTCATGGCCAATTTCCATGGACATGACGACATACCGAACACGAAGTTGTCTGGCCTGAAGATCTGGCCGAAAGGTCCGGACCTCACAGAGTCCATAGTGCCCGGCTCCAGATCCACCAGGATGGCCCGAGGCACGTATTTGTTACCTGCAGGAAAAGAAAGGAGATGGAGACCCGGGGTCACCAATGGCACGTGACTAGGCCCTGGCTCTCTGTGGCTTGCACGGCAGAGGTCATTAGAAAATTCTAGCATCTGAGACAGAAACAGAACAGGGGAGGATTTCTGCTTTGAAGGAGGAGGACCTCCAGGGGCTGCTTAGCATGTCAGACGGACGGGAGGCTCAGCAACTAGGAAGTGGGTTCTTTTAGCAGATGGCATTTAAGAGGACTATGCCAGAGGAAGCTCTTTCTGCCCCAGCGCGGAGCAGGGCTGCCCGGGCGAGGCCAGCGCACACTCACCCGCAGCCTCGTTGTAGTACACGTTGATTCTCTCCAGCTGCAAGTCGCTGTCTCCATGGTAACTGCCAGTGGGGTCGATGCCGTGCTCATCGCTGATGACCTCCCAAAACTGAGACGGAAAAGAATCGCATCATGGTACGGCACCCTACATGTCACTGAGGATGGCCTCTCCTTCCTCCCGTGTCCTTGAAACAGCGGCCACTGTGGTCAGACTGCTAAGGCGCCCTGCAGGGACCAGCGCTGCAAAGCCCATTCCAGCAGCAGCTGCTGCGGAGGGGCTGGGAATCTGCAGGTCATCAGCCATATTATGGCAGTAGGCTGGCGGCAGGGAGGGGCACTGCAGGAAGGGGTGGGGGAGGTCACCCTCTAGGGGAAGCTGTGGGTGGAGGGCTCTGTCACCAGGCAGGGCTGGATGTCACTGCATCCAGTTGATCCATGGGTCCTGGCAGGAAAGGTCCATGTGGCCCCTGCTCCGTGGCTGCCCCCAGGATCATGGCTCCTGGCACAGACCCTCTGCAGCCCTCACCAGGGCAGTTTTAAGCCACTGACCCACATATCGGCCTCTGGGCACTGAGCACAGGTGGACATGGGCTGAGAAAAGCAGGCAGGAGCCTGGAAGGGTGCCTGGGCAGGAAGGGTAGGGGGTAGCCACCATGAGGTCGCAGACTCCATTGTGAATCTGCAGCAGGAAAGGGGGCGGGAGCTTGGGGTGGGCAATATGGCGGTTGTGAAAGAGACCACGTCCTTGCACAGGCGCCCGCCCACGCCCATGCACCATGCCCGCTGCCACCTCCCCCACTGCGGTCGGCAACCGCAGCCCCCGCCCAGCCTGGTCACCTGCCGTCCCTCCGACTGGAGCCTAGACCCTTCGCTATGTAACATCCCGTCTAGGCGGTTCCGGCGTAAGACAATTGATCCTATCCCCTCCCCGGGTAACCCGACGATAAGTCTCTATAACATCTGACATCTGTCGTTTCTAATGACACTGCATTTTTTTTATTATTCAAACGATAGACAATCATGTACAAATTAAACTTCGCATGAGGTTACTGGTCACATTTCAGAGGCTAATACAGCCTGGAGAACGCCAAGGACGCCTGGCAGGCTGTGCGGGCAGGAAACGTAAGGCCCGGGTGAAATGCGCACACAGCTGGATGGCCGCGCAGCGTGGCAGGTTGTGCAGCTTCCTGGGCCCCGCCCGATCGTCTCATCCCGGAATGCTCCAGCCCGCCGCCCCAGCCTCCCACCGGTCTCGGTCCCGGTGGGTCTCTGTCCCAGCTCCAGCCCCGACCCCTCCTGGCTGTCCCCGCCGCGACCCCCAGCCCCGCGGCGCGCCCACCTTGGCGCC